GGCCTGACTGTAACACATGGAGTGCCTTTCATCTTGAAGTCTCAAACAGCTTTTTGAACATGAATCTAGCAGGAAAAAAAGACAAGGCACAGACCCGAGGCTTGCCTACTGTTACACATTAAATCACAACCAAGCTTTGAAAACTCACAAGTCCTGGCTTTTTGATGGCTAAAGTGCTGTGGCCTACAGTGACCTTCATGGTTATATGAGGAAGTGTTTGAAATCTGAGGCACGTTATTTCAAACTCCTGTTTCAGGAGCAGGGAAACATCTGCTAAAGGAGAGGCAGCTGCCAACCATAACCACCAGTTGAGCATGAACACAGCTGCTATTTATGTAAGCTAATCTCAGCATAGGTGGCATAAATAGTTGGGGGGGGAAAGGTTGTTTGAATACCTTCTTTACATGAAGGATCAATGCTGGCATGTGCCACCAGGCCACTTCTACTTGGCTTATCTCCTGCAATCTGGATTCATGAACTTGTGTAAAAGTCATTGATTTGGTGCTTGTCTTCCTGTTAGTCATTAAACCTCAGTAACGTCAAAGCACTCAAACTGTCAGTAAGAGGATATCGTGTTTAACGGGCTGGCTTTCATTCTCTGGGCAGTAAAACTGTTTGCAGTGTCTTGGTAAGAATTCTTACAGAACGTTACAGTTTCCCACACAAACAAATAGGAAAATGTGCATGTGTTGAATCAGGAAGCAGAGTCAATGTGTGATTATACACAGTAGATCACAGCTCAAATAATCTATGCGGAGTACCAACAGCAAGCTAACTGTATGTGCTTATTCAACAAAACCCAAGTCTTCCTGATGGGGAACGCAGTGAGGGAACACAACTGTTTGCAGATACGCCAGGAGCGGGAAGAATTGCAGTTGGTTGAACTGCTGGTCAGTTCTGCTTGGCAGCTGGGAACTCTGCTGGGGTAGAACTGCTCTATCATCGGAGGGGTTAGAGGAATGCCACAGGTTAACAGTCATTTTTAATCTCAAACAAAATTATCCCTCCTGACCTAATTTGAGAAACCAAGACAAAACAAAACCCTGCACACTGCACATCCATAGGGCTATTAAGATCTGCCGTATCTACATAGGACAGAAGATAAGATTATTGGACTGACTACTAGTCCTCTGCGGGGAAACAAGACTACTATTCCTCAGTGGATCTACGTGTGCATCGGAGATACCTATAAGACACAAACAGAAGACTTTGTAACAAGGTTAGTTAGAGTGCCATCTACCTGCGGAGTTGCAAACGGAGGGCAGGCAGAAGGGCGTCGCTCAGAGTGCCGTGGCACCGCGGTGCTGCGTGCGGCGGCGCTGCTCAGCGGAACCCAGTAGCCGTGTTTGTAGGCAGCTGCCCTGTTCTGTGCGGAGGTTCCCCTCCCTCTGGCCGTGTGTTAAAAGCAGCGGAGCTGGGGTGATGCTTCTCTCCTGAAGCTTAATTTCCGCTTTGTCTTCTGAAGTACAAACGTGTGTCACGCCAGCCTAGGTGGTAATGCTGTTTAAAATAACTTTTTCAGAGTGTTCGGTCTGTGCGCTCCTGTTTTGGGGATGGATTTATGTGTGCCTGTGTATGTTTGTTTTAATTGCCCAGGCAGCAGGGAGCAATTGGAAAAACGAGCATGAATGTTCAGTGTGGTAACATCTGAGAGGTGGTTCTTCTGTTTGGATTTTTCTCTCTCTGAAGTGCCTTTACAGAGGGTTGAGTATTACGACGTGTAGTAATATGGGAAGAATTGATATTTTATTAAATTTGCAAACACAGAATTTACAGACGAGGCACACAGCTCTGCTGCTGAGCTCTACTTTATTTCTGGCTTCCTTCCTTCTTGAAGATGACTAAAGAAAAGATGCATTTCCCAGCAGGTAGCGAGCTCCTCAGTGCCAGCCAGCTTTCTCACTGATGATGAAACTGGGGTCGTTCCCATTTTGCTGTTCCTTTGCCTTTGGAATACGGTGCTTTTTGTGTACCGTCCAAACTGTTTCCAAATTGAGAATCAGTAATGCTGATGTGCACACAGCTGCTGTGACGTGCTGTCCAGTAAAGTTAATTTTGATCGTTATGTGATCTTCGCCTTCAAAGCTAGCTGTGCTTAAGACTGCTTGTTTCCTGAATGTTTGATTGGGGTTGCTGATTTTATTTTTTTTTTTTTAACTGGGCAAAATAATGTACTCATGCATCACCCCCATGCGTCACCAATTAAAGCTGGAGACAAGAAAGAACCTCTAACAAGTGAGGAAGCCCGACGCCTTGTCTGCACTGCCGCAGTCGCTGCGTTCCAGCAGACAGCTGTGCTGCTGCCTCTGTCAGCTCTGTCCCTCCCAGCACCCCAGCCTGTTCTGTCCCCTCTGACGCTTTGTGGTACCCTGTCCCTTCCAGGATGGTAGCTTGGAGACTATTTCTATGACTTTGAGTATTAATACTGTGATTGTAGGAAATAATTGTCTGATTTAATTTTTTTTTAATGCAATGTATCTCACGTGTGCAATGTTTGTTTTTACTTTGAAATCCATGGTCAATGTCTTCTTTCATGGCAGAAAAGAGGGGATCTGATGATAAAAAAAGTAGTGTGAAGTCCAGTAGTCGAGAAAAACAGAGTGAAGACACAAATACAGACTCGAAGGAGAGTGATACTAAGAATGAGGTCAATGGGACCAGTGAAGACATTAAATCTGAAGGTGACACTCAGTCCAATTAAAACTGATCTGATATGACCTCAGATCAGACAGAGGTAAGTGCATTATTTCAAACTTTGATTAGGGCTTTTTGTTACTGTTTAACAGTGCAGCGTAAGTATGCACAGATGAAGATGGAGCTAAGCCAAGTAAGAAGACATACTAAAGCACCTTCTGAAGGAAAAGACAGTGTAGTCCTGCAAAACATTTTGAGGTACATTGTTTTGTCTCAGCTATTTTGTAGCAGACTCGTGCCCCATTAGTGTGCCTCTTTGGGACATATTGTAATATAGTCACCATAGAAACAGTAATTATCCTTTTTTTATTTTTAGGGATTTTGTTATCGTTTTTAAAAAAAAGTTGAACTGTTTTTGTATTTAAGTCCATATTGTGTTGGTACATCAGCAGAAACTTTTGCTTTAATGCTTAATATTTGAGGCACATGTTGGACTACTTTGTTTTTATATAAACTGCTAGTATTTCTTTGTCAAGGATGTTTCTAGTTTTTTTTTTGCTTTATTGCCTTGCATTCTAATGCAGTTTGTTCTGTAACTCGAGAGCCAGTAGCATTGGATTGATGGAAGTGTAGGGTTTATGAATTATTGCAGCTGACTACCATACCTCACACAGCGTTGGTGTTGTGAGCGGCCCATGAAAAGCCAAATTAAAAATCAAGGATTCAGTCAAACTAAGCAGGTACTCATGCCAGGTACTCCTTTCTCTACCCACATCCATGTTTGAATGCTGTTGCCTGTAATCTTTAAGCTTACTGTTGTGTTTTTGATTTTCAAGATAGTGAGAAGGACTTCTCGTGTATTGTGTGAATACTGTAAATCTGATGTTAACAGAACGGGATTTTCTTCCAACTGTGTGTAGGGATGCAGAGGTGCCCAGAATTAGATATCTTTAAAGAGTTAAAAATGCAATAAACACTACATAATAACCGCCTTGTTACTTTCAATGCAATTCAAGTCTTTAAGAGGTATGTGCTTAATATTTCCTACTGCGTAGGAGAGTTTGCGATCAGCCGTAGCACAGAGAGGTGGAATGGCTGATGCCACGTTTGTAAGGCAAATAGAAATACAAAGTCAGATGCCAGAAAACTATTATGGTGTTCGTGGCAAGAGTGTATGCTGAGAAAGTATTTGCTGGAAACCAGATGGCTAAACGTGAGGAAATGCAGATACTTGGAAGCTTTCCCCCAGCTCCTGACATTCCTTTACCTGAGGTTTCCGTAGTTGCATTCCTGAAATAAGGAACTAACAGTGGAGAGTACGGCTGATAAACGAGTTTCGTGCAACAGAAGCTGTTAGTACAGCTTGGCTGTCTGTGCTCAGAAAGCTGGGACGCGTGGTGTCGGTCGCGACGCCGTTACTGCTGCGTTACTGCTGCTAAAGCCAGTGCTGCTCAGTGTGGACATCTCTGTAGCGTTAAGGTGCAGCTAACAGCTGGGCCAGGATAGAGCTGCTGAGCAGGATGCTCTCTGCGCTGCCTAATTGTCTGCTCTCCCAACGTTTTGCATTGCAGGACTGCTACGTGAGGAGTCTGCGAAGATGGCGGAAGACAGCTTAACGTGAAGATCTGCTTTAAAATGAGGTGACAGAAAGCTGTAGTGGCGTAGAAAAATATAAGTTGAGTTAGATTTTTTTTTTTATAAAATTAAATTCAGGACTGGTTTTTCCTCCCAGAGCTCAGAAAGATGTGTTGATAGCATATATGCTACTGAGAATATAAGTCCTGTATCCTTTTTTTTTTTTTTTTTCCTTTAAGTCTTTTTAAGATAAGAAACCAACATAACCTGAACACATGGCTTGCTCAGTGTTTAATTGCAAGTTTTCATTCTTGGACTTTAAAACACAAAAATAAATGTTTAGTATTTGTGTGAATCGAACTAAAACGAATCCCATTTTTACAACTAAGGTATTCCTAGCTTCTTGATATATGAAAAATGGAAATAAAGTATCTTTGAATTTCTGTTACAGATTTGATGGTCTCTGTCATTAACATTTAGTATTAAATAAGTTTTTCTTTCCTAATAAATCTGCTTGTGTCTTCAAGCTTAGTCTATTAATTGGATGTTCAGTTGTTCTGTGGTTTGGCATCCTGACACCACTTTTATTTCTCATTTAAAAATGTACTGCTGTGTGATTTCTTTTTCAAAATGGAGATGAAACATCAAACTGGTTCTGTCCCCTGTTATCCTGCCCTCCCCCTGGGCCAGGAACCTGGGCAGGGAAATATCCCTGCTTCATGGAGCCGGGTGCAGTGCAGGTCTGTAGCACTAACAGCAGCGGTTGGAAGAACAGAGACTTCTGGAGTTTGTTTCAGTTGTTGTTAACAAGTTTATTGTTCAAAGAAAGCAAAAGGAAATAACCCTGAAGTAGTGTGCCTTAGAGTTTATCAAACTGCATAAAATATACAAAAATATTTCTCTGAATGCATAGACTTCTTATCACAGTCAAATCACAATTAATGTTTTAGTCTCCTCTTGTTAACAGTTACTCCTTGTCAAAACCGGAGCAAAGAAAGCTTTAAGACCAGCTGCTCCTACAGCTGCACGTTCAGTAATTAGTAGAGGCAGTCTTCACAGTGACGTCCTAAATACAGGAGCTGCAAGCAAATAACAGCCAGTGCAGGTTTGGAGCAGTTATTGCATGTCGTCTGAGCTAGTCTGCAGGTTATCTCATAAAGATGAATGTGTAATGCTATGGTGAAAGTGCCTTTCCTAAGAACAAAGGGAGCCCAGGGTGGGAATTCCTGTTTCATAGTGTGTCTTTAGCTTACGAGGAGCCGGGTCTGGGCTTCAGCTCCTGGACCGAGGAATATTCAGTGCATTCATAGAGATAGGGAACAGGGGAAAAGGATGGCAATTGCTTTCAGTCCACTAAGCAGGAGTTTTAAGCCCAAGTAACTTAATGGGAAGCCTGAACAGCAGAGCCTCAGCTGCCTCTTGGCTGCTTTTCTCTGAAGTGGGTGCCGATAGCTGCGTCCCTCCCAGGGCTCTGCACTGCACAGTGGTGCTGGGAGCCAGCATGGGCGCAGGGCATTGCGCTGCCTGCTCACGTCTGAAGGCAGCAGGGTCTGCACCACAGGGACAAGGAAAAACTTCCTAAAACTGTGCTACTGCTGAGGTGCAGGGGTGGTTGGAGTGTGGGTGCCTTGGGCTGGCTGGCACAATTCCCTGAGCAGTGCTGCTGCCTGCTCCTGTCCCTGAAACACTGCTTTAATACCACACAGTGTTTGTTACTGTCCGTGTTACTCCTGCACTGCAGGCCTGGGCCTGAAGGGGGGCATGAAAGCCATTTCCTGATTGTCTTTTCCATCACTCCTGCTTGGTTCAAAGAGGGGGAGTACTCTGCAGAATTTCTTTGCTGCCCTCTGTTGCTTCATACAACTAAAGAACTTAACTGCATGGTAAGCATGTGATCTTAGTATACAAATGAGGTATCCTGAATTATCTGGATATAGTACCAAGTAAGAAAAATAAAAGCAAAGGGGGATATTAAATACCAAAGACATTATTAGTTCAAATATTAGCCCTAACAGTAACTCAAGGTTCCCCAGATGCCCATTCACTGCCTCCCCTGGGCAGCAGTGTATAACCGTTGTGCTTCCAGGCTGCAGGTGGCACTCAGTAGGTCAGCTTGGAGGCTCTGCTGTTGTAGCACGATCTCTCAGTCAAAGCTGGTGCAGCATTTCTGAAGGGAGAGCTGTCGCTTCTCACAAGAACCAACTCCAGCTCTTGGAAGTCCTGCAGCCTGGCGACATCCTTGTCCTGAGAGAGTCAGAACAATTGCCCTCAACATAGCTGGCCGTACTTGGCACGTACTTAGAGTAGCTAAAGAAAGTGAAAACTAAAATTGGGGAATGCAGATGCGATGATAGGAATATGTGATGGACAAAAAGCAGCCCTGTCAGTACATGCTCTCAAAGCATGGTTTTGTTCTCTTGAGCCTTGTTATAATTTGGCTGTGTTTATGTAACTGAAGTCAGAGTTGGGCCCAAACACGTTTCTTTTACAAACTACAGAACTATCTTTGGACCGTAAGAGATGCTTGTTTGCTAAAGGCTTATCTATAAATTACGCAAGTACCAGTTTCTGGTATTTCTTCCCCTAATATTTTTCTCTTTAAACAAGCTAATACTGAAGTCCTACATGGCAACCGTGTTAGTACACTAATGTACCCTGGTATATTAAAAAAGAAAATGGATCTAACATTCTGTGCACTTGAGGAGCTGAAATAATGGCTTCCTCTGACAATATTTTAAGTGAGGTGCAGGACCAGTCCAGTGTCCTTTCAGGTTTGTGAGCTTAAGTGGTTTTGTTTTTTAGCATGTCACACTTTGCTGATGACTCACAGAAATGTCTTTGCTGGTGCCTGCAAAGCACTCAGTCAGATCATTCCCCCACTCCACTTCCTACCTTTCTCAGCACTGTGTTTGGTAGCTTCCTGATCCTCTCTACGTGCTGAGGATTAATGCCCAGCTCACAGCAGCTCACTCTGAGCAGATCTTGGTACGTCAGCTCCTGTCTGTCCAGTTCAATTTCAATGAAGTCGTCGTCTCTGAGGTTCTGCACTCTCACCTTAAGCACAAGTTCTGAATTAAAACAACAAAAACTGATTAGTTATTTCCCTAACAACTGGAGAAAACCAAACTATCACAATTATCTTTTGAGCTCAGGTTGTACAATGCAGTGTCTGTTGCCTCACTGCGCAATGAAGGGAAGTGTTCATTCAGAGCAGCTGCAGCTGAAGGGCGCAGGCTGACAGTGCAGGCAGTCCGACCCACCCTGCTGCCACCAAACCACCGTGCTCTGTTCTGTGCTACGTCGTATTTTGCAAAATGTGAGGTTTTCTGTTGCTTAGTCATAACAACTGATATTTTCCAGGTGTAGAGGAATAGAGCGTGCAGAGCATCACTGTGTTTAAGATACAGTACAATAGCTATTCTTTCTTACACGAGCAGGAAGAAATAAAAGGTCTGTGTATCGTCTGTGGATTTGTGGCCAAAGAAATCAACATCCCCACCTCTGGTCAACATTGTGAAACTGGAACAAATCCTTAACTTCACCAGTAACAAAAACATGGAACAGTGCAACAGAAGGATGAAAATTGCCCTTTGTTACCTTGCACGTTGCATGGGAAAGTTCCAGTAAAGAAGAAGGGCTGAAATGCAGGCGCAGGCCCAGGCGGTGGGCGGCTGCTCTGCGGCACGGCCTGGCTGGGGGCTGCCGGCACAAACAGAGCCGAGCTGCGTGCTGGGGGCTGGCAGGAGCTGCTCTGTAGCCCCAGCTCTGTGCATTCTGCAGCTGAGGGCACAGCCGGCAGGACGGGCAGCTGTGGAAGCTGAGGAAGGCTGTCCTCACTGGAGCACCGCGTGGACGCGCACACACTTTCAACCTGGGCTGCTGAGGAACGAGGACTGATTTCGCTCTGGGAAGCTGGAGAGATGGAAGTGCTTTCATTTGGAGATTCTGCTGAGCTGTGTGGGGGGCTTTCATCTGGACAGCTGTGAGGGAACGGCGGGGCGGCCGGACAGCTGGCAGCAGCTGGGGGGGTCACAGCGCTGACTCCTTGACAGTCCTTTTCTTCTTCTGTGACTGAAGTTCAGCAATGGGGCATAGGGGATAAAGAGAGAAAGGCCACTGTGTAACTGAATTCATCTCCCTCATTGAATACAGTTTTCATATTAAAGATTCATTAAGTCCAACATAAATAATACAAGGATAACACTACATTTTAAGGATGCAACATCAGGAAGACAAGTGGCTATGAAGTGAAAGAAAATCAAGATAAACACAAATATCTCTGAAATGTACTATTTAAAACAAAGTAGGAGAAGAAAAGCCATTGAAAAATGGCGTTTCTAGAAGTGCAGTTCCTGTTACTCCAGAGCTGACCAGTGGTATTTCGCTGTATCCCATTCTGCAATGCTTTAAATGCAGCACTGCAAATGGTTTATTACAGCCCACACCAGGGCATTAACAGCGCATCTCCGGTGAGGGGATGCAGCTCCAGGCCTCCTCCCGCCCCGCAGCCCTGCAGGAGGCCGAAGGAGGAGTTGGGAACTCGGCTCACAATGAAACCACAGGGCAGGAGGCGAGCGGCAGGCGCCGTTCCCCGAAGCCACGGAATCGGATGCGGCCCGAGCCGCGCGGGACGAAGCCCTACGAAGCGCGAAGGCGGGGCGGTACCTCCCAGAATCCTGCGGATGTGCGCTTTGGCCGTCAGCTGCTCGGCCAGCTGCCCCGCGCCCGTGGGGATGCTGCGGTCGGCGCCCGCGTCCAGCAGTAGCGCCACCACCTGCGCGTGGCTCCGCTTGCAGGCCCAGTGCAGGCAGGTCCTGCGGAGGGAAGCGGCGCCGTCAGAGCCTGCGGGGCGCAGCGCACACGGCGCGGGTTCCCGGCACGGAGCACGGAAAGGTCCTTCGACTCCGCTCCTACGGTTCTATGAACCCCCGGAGCCGCGATGCTCTCCGGGCCGCGCTTTGCCCCTCCGCGGTTCTCTAGCGCAGTGGCAGCGGGAGGAAGGGCGACTCGGCATCTCGGAGCCGCCGAGCTCAGCGTTTCTTTCCGTGTCACTCCGGGATGCGGAGGAACCGCTCCTCGGGTACAGCGCGGCCGCGGCCCATCCCGCAGCACGGCATCCCACAGCACAGCACAGCACAGCACAGCACAACACCGCACGGCATCCCACAGCACAGCACAGCACAGCACGGCCCATCCCGCCGCAGGCCCCTCGCCGCCCCTCACCAGCCGTCGATCTCGTTACGGGAGTTGACGTCCGCCCCCGCCGCCAGCAGCCGCCGCACCTCCTCGGCGTCCCCGAGCGCCGCCGCCTCCCGCAGCCGCTCCTGCAGCTCCTCCGGGCCGCCGCTCATCGCTCTCCCAGGCGCAGACCTTCCTCGGCGCCGCCGCCCCACCCGCGGCCGCGGATCCCGTCACAGATACGCGGTGTTACGCGGGGCCGGGCGGCCGCCTCCGCTCCCCGCCGCTCCGCCGGGCCCCCTCCGCCCCGAGCCCGGCCCCGCGCTGCCTCCTCGCTGCCGCCGCCATTTTGTGCGCGGGGCCGCGCGTCGCCCTCCGGCCGTGCCGTCCTGCTACCGCCGTCCGGGAGGATCGGGGCCGGCCGGGACGCGGCGGCGCGTTACCCCGCGGGCAGCTCCCGCTCCTTCCCGGCCCATCGGCGCCACAGCTCCGAGCGATCCCTGCTCCCGAATCCATGCGGTGCGGCGGCTCCCCGCGGCCACCGCTAGGGGGCGGTGCGGCACCGCCAGGTTGCGCTCCTCGCTCCGGCCCCCGCGCCGCTCCCACCCCGCGGAGCGCCAGGCTCTGCGCGGCACTGACCTCGCGGTTACACAACGCGCCGCTGCCCGCAGTCATAAGATTTCCTCCCGCGAGAAAGGCTGCAGAAGAGGATTAGGACTCAACGCTCCCGCCTGCCGCCTTTGCCCTTCCTGCCCTGAGTCTCGGCCCAGCCTCCCCCTTACCCTGCTTACTGCCGCTAGCATACATGCATCACAACCGAGCGGGGCCGAGAACTCGCCCTTCCCTCCCTCCTTTCCGCTCTGTCAGGCGACAGTCCGCCATCCCAACCCGCATGTGATTTCTGCACACTGAGCAGCAGGTCTGTGTGCCCATGTTGCACCACAGCAGCTGTTGGCTATCAGCTGGGATCTGCACTCTGCTGCCCAAAAGACACCACACAATTGGCTTCCTAAATGTCCCTCTGAAATGCCCTTGACCTTCATCAGCAGCACACCGAGCCCCTGCTCTGAGCCATAGCTAGAGGTGGAGGCACAGGAGGAGCCCAAGGCAGTGATATTTGGTTTCCATTGGGACTCATGGATGCTCACCACCTGTATTCACCTTCCTTTGGGTATCAGTGGGAACAGCAGAACACACAGCAGTGCCAAGCAGAGCTGAGATGTGAGGCACTTTGACAGCTTGCGGCTCACAGCAGCCATCAGGGACCCATCCACAGCAGCTTTAGGCCATCCTTTGTCCTCAGAAGTTTCCTGGATTTAATTGGCTAATTTGTTAGAGCTGCCTTTTTGCACACTGCTGGCTGGGGCTGAGCTTCTGCAAGGGTTCTTTTCTCCTTTTTTGGTGAAACCACCATCCATGCATTAGGTTTGAGCTCCTTTTTTCCTCATTTTTAAGGCTTATGAATTCTTTCACTCCTTCCACATTTCAGGTCTAATTCCCCAGCTCTTTTAACCAACTGTTCAGCCATTTGAAGTTATTATTAAGCACTGTTTGAAAGGTTTAACCCCCAGTTCATCAGTGAGCATAGACACAGCTGTATTACTGCATTTGAAACACTCACTCCCCACCCAAAAAACATCTCTGAGGATTTTCACCAGCCCAGTACTGACAGGTATTGGAAAACGCAGGGATAACCCAAAAATGTACCCATCACATTTAAAGCACAACTGCACGCACAGCTATGAAGCCATAGAGCATGAAGGGGCATGCAGATGGCAGGGCTGGTGAGGAATGAAGGAGAAATGAATTAAAACCCAAGCCCAGTACTCACACTGGGCTAAGCAAACTGCCTTTCTTTTGCCCTAACCTCACAGCTCCTCCAACTGAGTAGGAATTGATGCACAGATGGTGGTACAAAGTGCTGGGAGAGATGGCAACTCTCATATTTTTCCAGCACCTTCTCCTCTTCCCTTCATTTTTGCTAGATCTGCTCAGCCTGACCAATCCCTTCAAAAATCACACAGATCATCTATTTGTGCAGTTGTTGATTTGACATTGTTCCTATCCGCAGGGCAAACAAATCACCTCTGAACAAACAGGGAACTGGAACCTGAGGGGGGTGGTACATCAGCTCAGGGACTTGCGGTTAAGAAGTCTGGTAGATTTTGATAACAACTGGAAATTGTTCAGTGGATTAGCGGCTGAAGCCAGTTTGGCTTGGAGCAGTGACAAGCCTGAGCTGCAGTGCGTGGATCCAAACTTCTGCCCTGGGTTGGGCCCAAAGCCCCCCCTGAGCTGAGTGGTGTCCAACCCAGAAAGCGAGCGGCCGAGGGGATCCCTGGCTTTTCGCCGGATGTTCTGCCGCGTTCCTCCCTGCCCAGGCCTGAAGGCCCTTGCCTTGCTCTCCAGGGCCATGGAAGCGGCCTCTCAGGGGCGCATGGGGTTCCTGTTCAGAGTCCTGCCTGCACCTTTGGAGCCAAGATGTTTCTGTGGGTCTGCTCAAGTTCAGCTCCCGATGGCCTGTGTAGGAAATCCACGTGCTGTTAGCAAGATGCTGGAAACAGTTCACCTGCATTCACAAAGGCAGCACTAAGGTTTAGGCCTTGCCAGCAAAATCTTGTACCTGTGGGGCTGTGGTTCTGTCAGGAGATCCTGCCCCATGCAGAAGACCAGAGCAAGGCCTAGATTCCTCTTCAGTTGCATTTTAACCATCACAGAGGAAGCCATGAGTTACAACCAGTCACACTCAGAGCTTCGCCCTGCGCCCTCCTCGCAGTGCTGAGGTGCAGCCAGCTGAAGCTACGCATCAATTAGAAGCTCTCCATTGACTTGGATGGGCTTTCTACCAGACACTATTCAATTCCACAGAGTAATTAGCAAAGCTGTAACTAAAGAGGTCTCCATGGAGATTGACAGCATCACCTCTCAGCTGGTACATTCTCTGCCTCCTATTCTAAATTTGTTCTTGCTGTCTTCCTGGCTCTAATCCATAAGGTTTGCTAAATCTTCCAACGTTTGTGATACATCAAAGCCGTGGAGAGAAGGGCAAAGGCAACTGGGGAGGGAGCAGAGAAGGAAATAACCCAGTGCTATAAGGAAAAGAACAGAAACTGTTCAGACACACATAGAGTTTTGAGAATGGGATTAGGCAGAACAGCACCTCTGCCTGCCTGTCACTCGCAAATTCTTGCTAATACTTTAGGAGCTTATTGGACTCAGCACCAAACACCCAAACAGACTAATCTGTATTATAGACACATAATCAAAGTCACAAGGTTTTACATAATATATATTGGTGACACAAGAAGTGTTTGTTCGCATAATTTTGTCATCAAGATTAGCAGCCATGAAAGCCCCTACTGTGCACTAACCTGGTTTTCTATGGCCACTCCATTGGTATGCAGCGATTCCTCAAAGAAATCAGAAGGCACTGAGAAAGTGCAAACCAAGTACGTGCTCTGAAGCAGCAGCATGAGTAGATGGCAGAGCAAGGAGTGGGTTCAAGGTGGATAATAACGCCGTATCAACAAATCTGATCATTTTAAAAATGAATTTGTTATGAAGTGCACGAAAGTGTATGGAAAGTCTGTTTTTTCCACTGCACACACAGAGCTGCTTATAAGCACAGAGCTGCAGTCACAGCTCCAGCCGTGGGTAGCAGAGGCGATGTAAAGATTTCGCAGGCACACGGGTCAGCTCATTGTCATGCCTGAGGCACAGCAGAGCAAAGCAAAGGTCCTGTGAGGGTGCCCCACATCCTCCCATCCCACTCCAGGCAGCCTGGCCAGAGTTCACCTCTCTGAACTGAAGCGCCCCACAAGGAATCCCATTGCCCTAAGCGTCCCCACAGCCAGAGCTGTGCCAGCAGGACGCCTGCAGTGCAAACCGGTGCTCAGGAGGGCTGAGCTGTCCTCTGGGTTCGCAGCAGTCCACGCGTTGCTCCCATGTGAAGCTGAACTCGCTCCTGAAAGCTGCTTTGTGGAGCAGAGCTCTGGGCTGCCTTCGAGCTGAAGAAAAACCAAGCACTGGGTGGGATCTCCAGAGGGTTGGCTACAAACTCACCCTGCTTTGAAATCAGGAGAATATTTACCATCTTCATCCATCAGAGGAGAAAAAAAAAAAAAAAAAAAACAACAACAACAAAAAAAAACCCTCATTATGGAACACGTTTGAAACATTTGCCTCTAATGATGCTACAATTCCTTTGTACCTCATGACTCACAGACGACCTGCTGCGTTCACCATTAAAACACAGCCTCAGCAATTGGTCCCAATTGGTCTGATAACAGAGCGAGCACAACACACCCAGGGATACAAGAGCTATTAAACCATATGCATCTCTTAAACGTCACCTGCAGTTGCTGTGCCGTCACATCAAGGCTGCTTATCTCCAGCCCTGCCAGCAAACAGAGAGTGCTGCAGCTCATCAGGTCCCACTGCGCTGCAGGTGGACTCCTTGTGCTGCACACAGGGAAAGATTAAAAGGAGAACGTGCACTAATAAGCTGAAATCAGAATGAACAGCAATGGAAAAAAAGCCACAAAATACAAACATCCTGTCAGCAGGGCAGGCAGGAGTCCCACACATGAAGACCCATGGAAGCTGAGCATCACGGCTTGGCAGGCAGCACCTGCCAGCTGTCTGCGTGCTCAGCTCCATGCCCTGTTTGTACCATTGTCTGCATTTGGTCACCATTGGGTGTTTCCAGTAGTGGTGCCAGTGGCCCAAAGCAGATGTAGGAGCTGCAGCTGGGGGCCTTCACCCAGGTTTGGGCTCTGCAGGGCACAGCATGTTGTGGAGCTGATGGTGAAGGAGCACACAGAGCACTGCAAGCAGAGCAGCTCAGGATCGAGGGCTGCTAAGACGCCCAGCTCTGGGTGAGGGGCTGCTCCAGGCACAGCCTGCACTGCAAGTGAGATTCGGGAGTGGGGGTGTGCAGCCAGGCAGAAGAAGGCAAGAACTCTGAAGCTCGGATGATTTTTGTCCTAATTTAGATTTAAACTCCAAAACGACAAAGTTGACGATGGGGATTTCATGGTATTTGCAGAAATAGAAATAGTTCCGTTTTGTGAACGTTAGTTATTGTTTATAGCTGAGTTTTGGATACCAAACCCTCAGAGGAGTTCTGGCACTTCCAGGTTATCCATAGAGGCTCCCAGGGCCCCGAGCTGCT